CCAATGGGGTTCACAGGCAGGGGAGCACCAGAGGGAAGAGAGGCTGAACATTAGGCTGTGCCAGTGGGTCTATCAGTAGCTATCATGATTTGATTCAAATCCACACTCAAAAGAAAAGAAAAAATGGAAAAGAAAAAGAAATTTTGTAATTTTTGAGGAAATGCCACTTTCAAGGTGTGAGGACACACATTTGTCATCTCTGTGGGATGAAAGGACTTCTCCTTAACGCGATCTAGTGCTGACTTGCCTGCCACCCGTCTGCTGCAACTATGAAGACGCTGCCACCACTAACCAACTTTGGCTCCCAGGAAGAAAAGGGTTGACTGTCCCCCATGCAATGTCCCCATCCTGCTCACAAACATGAGTGCAGGTAAGATGACTGCATCCACTCAGCTCCCTCCATCCTGTCCCAGATGGAGAAAGGGAGGGCAGGAGACTGGATATCACCTAGATTTTAACTTCATCAGGGCTGCTAAGCAGCTCATAATTACTCCAAATGAATACCCTTGGAGGAGAGACAGAGAATCCCAAATCATTCCTTGACTTCAACTTTCAATTTACCCAGCCGATGCTAAGCTCATTAATCATACTTGCAGCACCAAACACAACAGAAATTAATCCCTGATCTTCTCCCCTCTTATTTCATGTGGTGAGAGGCTGGGGGCAAGAGAGGGCAGGAAGAGAAAAGAGATGGAAGAGTGCCACCCACAAATCTAGCAGTCACTCAAATGGTCTGCGATTAATAAATCAAAAATCCATTATTAATAGTACAAGCTTAAATATCTATCTAAATGCAAATGAATGAACACTGGGGGCTTCTTCTCCTCCCCCTTTTCTTTTTTTTTTTCCTTTTTTTTTTTAGTGCTTCGTTTAACAACTCCATCTTGGAGGAGGCACATGCCCACATGATAATTGTCAGCTCTAATTGCAATTTTACAGTTCAAGCCTTCATGGCCCATGGATTTTAAGTGGCCTTTAAAAGGGCCGTGACGTGTTTTGGATGGGATTGAAAGCTCAGGTGGCAGCTGTGACAGGCAGGAGCTCTGCTATGGGCATCGTTTTGAGTCCCCTGCTTTGGTACATGTTTGGTTACACAGAAGGTAAAAGGGGGATAAATTGCACAAAAAGGTAAGGGGGATAAATCCAGGTGCTTCACCATAAGTTCAGGAGAGAAGTGAGAAATTTTACCAAATCCCAGGCAAAGCCATAAGGCTAATCCTTGTTGGAAAAACGTGAGTCTCTATCTCCCTTTAATGACAGATGCCCAACGCTGACAGCTCCCATTCAGCACCGCAGCACATCAGGTCTTTCCATCTCCTACGAGATATGCTAAAGCAGACTGGGCCTGATAAAGCAGACTAACTTGAGACCTAAACCTGCTCCTGTCTGAGGACTCCTCATAATCCACTGTCATTTTGATGTGCTTGAAGGCAGGATACAGAACTATACCTCCTCGCAGCTACATCTCCCTTCTCCCCACCCTTCCAACTGCATTTTCCAAGACATCTCAGTCCTGGAGTCTCATCTCAGGGTCCTGGAATCCTCTGTATGAATAATGCACATCCCAGGGAAGTCCCCTTCACTCACTCAGATACCTGTCTGACCACAGGCTCCATCCATCACTCAGTCGTTAGCAGAGCTGGCATCCTGATAGGGAAGTTTGTCTGGGAACCTCACAGCTGCATTAAGTCATTTTGAAGGTGAGAGCCAACAAGAGAGGAAGAAGGTGTTCACAAGTTGACAAAATAACCAGAATGCCAAGGAAGACAGAGAGAGGCTAAAGAATGGACAGGGGAGAAATCTGGGGGGAAAGGGGCAGCTATCCTACCTGAGGAAAGAACTGTGGCTCATACAAGAGATCGCCCAGCCCTGTAGCTGGATGCTAAAGCATTATTGAAGATATAACCAAAAAAGCCTCGCTCCAGTCTTAACATGTATGGATTATCCTCTCCCGATCCTTAGAGAAATGAAGGATTATGCCCAAGAGAAGCCAGAAACACATTAATGTAAAGAGTGACCCAAGTTCTGCTCAGGTCTTCAGGGCTCTCACTGAAGGATGCAATAGGATGCAATAAGCATTTGATGCAGAAAAATGAAGGCATCCAGGTGCACACATGGAGCACCTGGCCTCAGATCTAGTTTGGTTCCCTAAGATCCAAAGGCATGGAAGGACAGATGGGGACACAGGGAAGGACCTCCTGGCCAGCCAACCTTGGAACCAGAGCATAGAGAACCATCAAAAGAGCAGACTTAAGAGAAATATTGTCTTCTGAGCAAACAACGCCATGGCAGAGTGGCCTGGGCTGCATGGAGAATAAAGCAAGATGAGTAACAGACAGGGAAGTGCGTCCACAGGGCAATTAAACTGGTCACACAAGGAACCTATAGCAGAGTTGGGAAGCGGGATGTCCTCAGTTTCACCCACCTGCACACCTACCTTGTGAGACTGATCAGTGGGGCAGCCTGAATTTTACCATAAAAATTAAATTTAAATTTAAAAAGGGTAACAGAAAGAGGGAAAAAATAGCAGCAAAAGGAGAACCTTTCCAAAGTGGGACTGCAGCTTAGGATTTTGTGGCTCAGATTGTGATCATGATTTCCACTGTGCATTAGACAACAGGCCTCAGATCATACTCAGACTCTCATCTGCTTATCAGTGGATGTGCTTTGGTCTGCAAGAGGCAGCAACACACAGTGTGAGCTGCCCAGGGAGACAAGAGCCTATGCACAGCACGTGATGCTCATAGCTGGGTGAGCTTCAGCATTATGATTTGGGGATTTCCTCTTCCTTTGACACAATTCTTATGCTTGGTCAGAAATGCTACTAAATTCTTGGCACCAGAGGAGCAAGATGAGGTTGATTTTGGTGCAAGATACTCACCTTTCATATCTGAGCATACAACTCTGAAAAAACAGCTATCAGAAAGCAGGCATGTAAGCTAAAAAGTCCATGTTCCAAACAGAAAATGATTTTCCCAGACTGTGATGCAAAAGTCTGGGTAGCTGGATGGTTCAGTTCACGTCTGGGATGGCCATTCAGACTTGAGAACATGGTTTGCATAGCTAACTTTTCATTACATCTTCTCAGGAGGGAGCAATGATAGCAAATCAGCTTTAAACTCCTATGCAAACAACTTTGCAGCTCCTGTTTGCAGCCAGAACTCACAGAATGAGATCTAGTTTGGGAATATCCCCTAGCAAAACTTGCTGACACTGTAATTTTGGAGATTTGCACTGGTTTAGACTGCAAATGCTGCTGGCTGAAAGCACGTGCGTGCGTGCCCTGACACACACTGGCATACACACAAAGTAGAGTCTTAGCAGCAACATTTGTTCAGCCAGTCTGCAGGAGTTTTCAAAACCATCCTTGACAACCAAGGCAATGCCAATGCCAAGATATTTCCTGCTTAACTCTTAGCTTCGAGCCCATCCTTTGATGCCATGGAGTAGCAAGGATTAAAGAGTGAAAGCATTGCTAGCATCCCTTGTTCCCCAAGAGACTACAAGCCGTAGAACAAGCTGCCAAGCCCTAGGATCAAGTAAGCGGAGCAGACGGTCCTCCCAGGACATGTCAGGAGTAATGATGCTGCCCTGATTTTGTAAAAGTTCACCTAAGTCCTGTTGAGAGAGGTCAGCGCAGCACACAAATGACAGACACTGCTGCTGCATCCCAACCATCTTCTAACACTGGAGCGATTTTCACTATGACCCAGAGGGACCCATTCTACCACTGGGTACAACAAGGAGTCCCCATGGATTCTTCAGCTTTGGTCTAAATCTTCTCAGACATGCCAAATTAATCACAGCCCAACAAGGGCAGTAAGCTCTCTGCAAATACGTTGCCCGCCTATGTGTGCTTATATTACTTAATGGAGCATAAAAGAAGAAGAAGAATAGAATCGTTTCTCAGATGCTGCAGCTAATAATAAAAAATAATGATAATAAATGCAAAGCTATGTGCCAAATGCAGGAGGTCTTATGGAGAAAAAATGACTCTTAGCAGAAAAGGAATCAGGTTGGTCTTCAAACTGAGATGCAAAAGTCAGTGAAGTGAAAAGACCATTAAATCAAACATTTCAGATCTTTGTCAAATTCACTCAGGATTTAAGACTACACTTTTAGACTCTATTTTTTTACAGTGAAGACTTTCTGACAATGACTTTCTGACAGTTACTTTCTGTATGGGATTTTTGACCTTGACTCTATGTGGTAACTTTGGATTTCTTTTTTTTTGCCCGCTGGCCACAGTTACATCACTCTAAAAGCCTCACAAACAGTCAACAATAGCAGGAATCCTCATGGAAATCATTTTACTACATCACTGCAGCACAACCTCTGCTTCACCACTGCAGGCCATACTTTGCAACAGCAGCCTCCGATTTTGAACTGTTCTTATGGTGCACAGTTTGAGATGAGTGTTGAAGGGGCCCAAGCTTAGCCTGCTTCAAGTTTAATTCAGGGACATCAGCAAGTGGCTCTAAAGCTCTTGGGCTTCTGTTCAAGTAATCCTCATGTTGTAAAGTCAAAAAGAAGTGGAAAGTCAAAATGAGAGGTCACTTTTCGTTAATGTGGGATCTAAACTGTCAGGGGAGAATGCAAATATCCATCCTTGCGGATAGAAACATAAACACCCCTATTAGGCATATTAGAGATAATACAGGGGTGCATTTATGTGATGCGCCCAGCACACAGGCGCTCCAAGGACTGAGAACACCTGATTTCAGATTTTTAAATATAAGATCTGTTTTAGCTGGCAGCAAAAGAACACAGAGTAAAAATTGCTATATCCATGCTGATGAAGAAATGATCAATCCCCACCTGGGAGAAGGGCTTTGCCAGCATTGAAGTTTGTTAAAAATAAATAAATGAAGAGCTGAATGGAGAGAGCAAATGACTGGAATACAATGCAGGTTGCTGCTAAACTTGTGATAGCTTCATCCCAGAAACAGCCTGAAATAAATGGGTTTACTTGAGAGTAAAGAAAAACCCACACAACTCACCTGTCAGCTTCATCCCACAGGATGCAGGTCTGGTTGGTTGTTCCCTATTGGGAGAAAAGAAAGGGAAAAAACGAAGCAAATCAGTGCTGTGCTGTTGATAGGTATTTGAAACAACTGGAACAAAATATGAAGCAGCTATAGAGCTGCTTCCACTACTCTACATAGACAGTCACAGATCTAGACCCTTGGAATAGATCCTTTCACCCTGGGCTTGAAAGGCAAGAAGAAAATGAGCCTCACTTTCTTCTCCATCAGCACAAGATCTATGCAAGGATCTGACTCCACATCTGTCCTGTCTCTACCTGCTGATGCTCTTTCTCTTTCCTTCTCTCACAAAAAATCCTTTTGCTGCTCCCTTCTGGAAAGTGGATTAAGTACAGTGCATGCTTTTGTGGCACACACTTCTCAGAAAATGAACAGTCCTGCAGAATGTGTTCAGGTATATTTAAAGCTCCCTGCAGGAGGTTTACTGTTAACTCCAGCTGGAGCTCTCTTAGGCAGGACAATTTGAAAATGCCTTCCCAGAAAGTCTAAAGCAAAAATATGATGGATCTAATACACGTTCTGGAGCCTCAGAAGGACTTGGGAATTCCACAACAAAAACTGGCCTTGGAGTATGTATTTATCTATCATACATGTCTGTTTAGGAACAAGTGGGGATTCTTGGAGATATTCAACTGCCTTTTAAAGTCCTGATCACAAAAATAATATAATATAATTCATGTCTCCTATAGCATCTGAGAATTACAAAGAACATTGCAAACATTAATGGAAACAAACTTTCTCAGCCTTCTCTTCCTTATTCAGGAAAAAGACACATTTTCTAATGAGCGAATAATTAAGACATTGTTCTTCCCCCAGTCGTGTCCCACAGTGAAAAGGTGGGAATGTGGGACAAGAATGTTGATGTTCTACCATCGATTCCTGACAGATCCGTCACCTACCACCCACTTCTCTCAGCCCAGCATTGTCAATATCCGTGGGACACAGAGTGGTCAGGTTTGCAAGGATGACCTAAACAGTACATCCTGGACAGCGAGCAGCATCAGGACACCAACATCAGACCAAGACCAGGCAGGTAGGTCAGTGTCTAACCAGGCCTAAGGAAGACTGATGGGTCCTGCAGTGACACAGACAGCTCAGGAACCTGCTAAAACTTCATCCTTCCTTGCCCCAACTCTTTTCTTTCATGCAGAAACAAGCACACATATGGGGTGGTCTGGGTTTCCAGGATAGACTTACATTGTACAGATGGGAGAATTCAATCTCCAAGGGGGTAAGGAGAGACCTGGGAAATGGCTTCACAGTCACAGAGATGACTTTGGAGTTGACAACAGTGCTGTTCCTACGAAGAAGAGAAAGAGAAGATTTGAAAGGGATGGAGGGAGCTTTGCAGTGTGTCAAATCCCACAGGATTAATTGTTGGGGTATGAGGCTTAGTGTACATATTGCAGAAGAGTTGTCTCCATCACCTTATAGCTTTGTCAAAGACACATGCTGCTGATAGACCTCATCCTTTACCATTCCAGATCCCCTCACAGCTAGAAAGGCAGGGAGATGCAGGCAGACAATGTATATCTCCCTCTTGTGAGGATACAGAAATGGAAAGAGGCTCTTCCCAGCCCTTCCTTCACTGGAGAGTAAGGGAAACCTCTCCCCATCCAAATCCTCAAGTCTACAGACATTGGCAAGGCCTTTTGTTTTCTTTTCTGGGTCTTACCTTCTTTTTACAGAGAATTACCTGGAAAATATCTCCTTGCTTAATAACAAAAAGGGCTATAAAAACTGCAATTGCCTGCAGATGTCTAAGTCAATGCTCGGGAAGCCATGATTCCACCAAGAGCAGAGGGAACAACAATAGCAGGGTGAAGAACACACACAAAAATATTCAATTAAAAGAAAAAAAAGAGAAAAGAAAGTGGGAAAGAAGCAGTGAAGCACAAAAATCAATCTACAAAGAATGAGTGGAAAGGGAAGTCAATGGGAGTAGACATAAGGTTTCAAATGTAGGTAGCTGCAGATAGACAGTTGGCTTCCTGACAGATCTCCAAAAGGGGCTGTTAACAGGTAAACACCCATGCATGGTTTCGTTAGTAGCTGGGTCTTTTTAAGGGTCAGTTCTTGGTTCAGCACTACTCGATATTTGTGTGAACACCCTAGATGACGCAGGATAATTCCTTTTAAAGGCAGTGGGCCCCACGAGGATTGGTGTGGTGAATAAAAGCAGAAGCAGCACGTGATTTTTCAAAATAACAACTCTAACGTGTAGAAGTTGCTGCTGTGCTGACATTGAAGGTTGCTGAACAGGGATACCTAAAGGTATCCTGCTGCATCTGAGAGCTGGGAAATACACCCAGGAATGACAAATGGGAGGTCTGCATGCAGGACTATGCGTTGCGCTCTGGGAAGCAGTGACCCAAAGTGTACCCAAAGAGAATGACTTCAGCATGAAGTCCTCTGACAGGTAGGACAAGAGCTATCCAAGCTATTTGGAAATAAGGAGGTGAAGCGTTTATCTTCCCTCCATAGCCCTCATTGTAAGGCTGTCCCTGCACTGCCAGCTTCAGTTCTGCTTTGAGATGGGGAGATAGCGGAGAGAGTTCAAAGGAGAGACACAACGTTGATGCAGGTGGTGGAAAACTAGCCATAAGAAGTCGCTGAAAGGCATGTCTGACAGTTCCTTGCATGCAGAGAAGGCATCTGATAGCGGGGGATTTTTCAGTCGCCCACACAGAGGCCCAGTGCCTGGAAGTGAAAGTCAGACAAATTCAGCCTTAAAATAAGGCACAGTCTCCTAGCAGAGAAGGTAATTAGGCATCTGAGCAGCTTGCCGGGGGAGGTGAGGAACTGAGCATCACGGGGAATCTTTCAGGAAGAAGAAAAGTTGTCTTTCCTAAAAACATGCTGCAGTCCACCTTCTGCAAAGGCAACTAAACCCAAGCTCCAGACAGAGAGGAGGTCAGCAAAGCTCCAGGTGCTCCTGTGTGGCCACAGTGACTCTGGCATCTAAAGCAAAATCACTTTGCACCAATGTGGTTAAATCACATGTCCTTAAAAACATCATTTCCCATTTTTTTTTTTTTCCCCCGAAGTCCATTTGGACAGCCATGAATTAGAAGATACTGCTCTGCTGGGTATTTTATTTGCCCTTGTACAGCCACAGGTGAAATAGGACTGATTTTTTTTTTTTTTTAAGAGGGACTGTCCTTTAATTAAGGAACATCTTAAATCAGATCTCTTGTGGGAATGCTGTTTGGAGGCTGTGGCTGCTGCAGCTGCTGGTTATCGGAGCTCATTCGGTGCTTGGCCAGAGAAAGCTGAAATACCACCGCATCATTTGAGCCAATGATGTTTATTGCCCTTCTGATCTAATTCCCAGTGCTGTAATGGAAGATATTACAGAATACAGTTGGCTGGCTTGCTAATTCCTCTCTGCACTCACTTGGAGCTCTTTTGCCATTGCCAGTGCTAAATCTGTAGGTATTTAAATGATTATCAGTAAGGAGAGATGCCCTGGTGTTTATGGTAAATGGGCTCAGGCTAATCAGTGCAGAACAGATTTAGAAGGTGCCTTAGGATGCTTAATTTACTGCCTCAGTACCAATCCTGGGAAAAATAAAAAATAAAAAAAAAGAAAAGAGAGAGAAAGAAAAAAGGCGGGGGGGGGGGGAAGGAAATTAAGACAGTGGAGCTTTACCAGCTGCAGACATGCTGATTTCTACATCAAACCATCAGATCATCAACTCTGAACTGCTGCATATGTCCTCCCATCCATTGCAGTGGTTCCTGTACGAACATCACCCAGTCTGGGGCAAAGCACTATAGGCTGCATGGGGAAGAGGCCCATAGCTCTTTCCCTTGGAGCAGCAAAGGGATCTCAGGGAGGAAAGACCCTCAATTTCCTCCCCAGTTGTCCCCTTCCACTGTCGGCCCTTCTTACCTCTGGAGGGAGAGGATGCTGCCCACGTTGCGGTACAGAACAGTCCCCACCACGAAGACGGAGGAATCGTCTGTCACTGCAGGGCGCCAGAGGAAAGAGAAGAAGACAACAGTGCTGAGACAGGGAGGATGCTTGTCCCCAGATGACCCCCCTCCCCCTAAAACTCACACCAGGAAAGCGCATGGAGCACGGCACGGAAAAGGAAGGCTTGGAAAGGGAAATAGAGGATACTGTGGGCCTCAACACCCTTTTTTTTATCTCCCCTTGCTCTGTACCAGGGAGAACCATTTCCTTCTGGGACCAAAATGACACCCAAGTGCAGGAGGAGACCTAGCATAGGGATCCATGCTGGTGCATGGCTGATGCTGGTTTCAGCACAATGGAGTGCATCTCTGGCTGTCGCCTCATTGAATCACCATGGATCCTAGGCTGTGGTGATGGTGTTCCCTGGGGAGCATCTCTCTGGCATGACCTGAAACCCATGTGTCTGCTCTTCTGCAAGGCCCAAAACCTGTGTATCTGCCTTCATGTAAGACCTAAATCCCATGTGTCTGCCTTCATGCAAGATCCAAAACCTGTGTGTCTGCCCTTGTGCAGGGTTTGAGCACCCGCATTGATCTTCCTAGTTCTCTCCTCTTTGGAAATCCAGCTCATCCCTCCAGCAGAGGCACAGCAGGGAAATCCAGAGGACTCGCTAGGACCCATCAGCAGCTATCGAGACATCAGAGCAAAGAGCCACGCTGGTTTTGACAAGGGCAGCCACAAAGGGTGTGTTTCCCCTGCCGAGCTGCCCCTGCAGATGCTGCCCTGGCCACGGTGGTGGTACTGCAGAGCCCTACAGACCCTAATGCTGTGTGTTTGGTCCCAGAGGCTTGACCTCCTCGTCTGCCTCACACAAACCAGGTGCAGAAAGGAAAAGCTTCCCAGGGAAAAAATAAATTAAGAAGAAAAAATCAAAAAATAAAGGCGACAGAGGTAGCTCTTCAGCAAAATATCCCTTCTGTTTCACATGATGCAGATGAGGAAGCCAGGGGAAGCATCTTGCTCCAGGGATCTCGAATGTCTCATCACAGAATCACAGAATGGTTAAGGTTGGAAGGGACCTCTAGACATCATCTAGCCCAACCCACCCGGCCCAAGCAGGGACACCTAAAGCACGTGGCACAGGGTAGCGTCCAGCTGGGTTTGGAAGATCTCCAGAGAAGGAGACTCCACAATCTCTCTAGGCAGCCTGTTTCAGGGCTTGGTCACCCTCACAGTAAATAAATTCTTTCTCATGCTGAAGTTGAGCTTGGAGCATGTCTCTGATCTCTCAGTGCAGGACAGGCACAGAGAAATGTGCCTCTCTTCCTCTTCAGAGACTCATACCTCTCTGTCAGACTGGGCTATAGTGAACTAGCAAGGCAAATCATTGGCTTGCAGATGAGTAGGCTTGCAGAGCTTTTGCAGGAACCTTGCTTTCTCGGGAAATCCTGCACTATCTTTTGCCTTTCCTGCGAATCTCTATGCAAACAAGGATCCTGCTGCCTTCCAAGGCAGTTTTCTTCCTTTGCACTGAGAAAACACAGCCATGTGTTGACAGAAACATTGTGCGCTCCTATGAGACTGTGAGCAAGCAAATCCCTAAGCTCCACAACCTTATCACAGCTCTTCCCAGTGAAGAATCCTGTCGGTAATAGAGCTGGAAGTTTGTTTCATTTGGTCTGGGGGTGATTTTTAATAATGTAGCTACCCTTCAGTCCTGCTATATTATAGTGAACTCCTCTGATGTGCTACCCAGCTGGAACAGCGATGCATTTTGATCATGTAGCATCTCCCCAGTGAGGAGCACAGCCTGGAGCCCAAGGGGCATGCCAGTCAACTCAATAAATCACTGCTGGCCTGCTGAAATCAGCTGTGCAAAGCTAGTGAGGGGTCTGTCCTCACTGCCACCAAGCTGCCTGTCCCCATTGCTCTGCTCAGGTTAACTAAACCTTTTCCCTGCTGCCAAGGAAAAGGTGAGGATGGAGAAAAAAAAAACAAAATCAAAACCAAAAACAATGGTGGTGCTGTTATTCAAGAGAGCAATCCATCAAGAAAGACTACCCGCACACGGTTCTGAACAAGGCAGAGGCAATATCGCTCCAGGTGAACAGGATGCCAAGGAGAGGTGAAGCCTGATGAGAAGTTAGTTCTTCAGAGCAGATGTCACCTTTTGTTTGCACAGCGCCTACCACTCTGGGGCCTTATGGCAGCTCTGTGTAATGATACTTGTAATAGAAATCTGGAAAACAGCCCTGCAGGGAGGTAGATGAGTCCTCCTACGGCAGCACACAGCCCCGGAGCAGGACCCACTCTGCCTGTGTGTGATGTTGTAAGTTTGTCCAACGGTTCATTAAAGTCTTTCCAAGGTGAATGCTCCATGACCTCCGCAAATGATCTGTAATAACCTTCCCTCCATGCCCTGATTTCTTCCAAGAAGATAATGCTGTTCTCAAGGTACAGCAAAACACAGTACTGCATTTGTCCCTACTCTGCTGGTGACCCACTCTTTACCTTTGGGGGACTTACTGTTGGCTACAGAGTCCCCAGGTGGAAATAATGGCTGTGTTGTTTCTCTCCCCATCAGGGAACTCAGTGACAAGAGGTCTTGATGTGATAAGAGGAGGCCAAAGGACTTCCAACAGCAACAACTCATGGTCCTCTGCCTCAGTGCCAGCAAAAGACAGCACAGTGTAATGCAACAAGAGGCTGTATCCTGCACTTTCAAAGTCATTAGTGCCATGCACAGCACCAGGATATATGCAAAACCAGCTCACTGCTCTTTCCTACTCAAAAGATCCATCACAAGGCCCTGGCTCAAGTGGATGCCCTTTCCAGAAAGACAAATACACCAAGTGCCTGAGGCAGGGAGCATCCTTTCCTGGGCCCTCCAGGATAGCAAATCTCCAAGAGAGCCCTGCAGGTTTCTTCTCCAAGCTGGCACTCAGGATAGCTTGGCGGAGGGCCCTGCTTCCACACCACTTCCACACCATACGTATGGCATGTGCCCAGCCGCCTCCTGCCGTGGAGCAAATGACCTCAGTGATAAATGCCCCTCATGTTTGTTTTGTGCCATAAAATTGCACACAGCAGGCATAAAAACATACTCTGGCAGAGTCCGCCCATCCAGGAGTTCCGCAGCACATTGGCTGCTCAGCCTGCTGAATTCCAGCTGCTCAGACCTTAGATGGCTCTTCCAGAGCTGGATCTAGTCCTCCAGGAAATATACAACATTGTCCACGTGGGCATGACAACAGGAGGACAAATCACACCCCAATTCCAACCCTGTTTGTCTGTCCCTGTTTTCCTTGTTTCCTGGTTTTCCATGCCCGTAAAGCCACCAGAAAAGACAACTCCATTTCTCATACCCTACTGAAAATCCAGCCTGATCAAGAAGGAACAAGAGAGACACTTCAGCACTCAGTTTTCCCTCGGAAGATCTTAGATGCAGCCCAATACCCACATGCACCAAGAACAGAGCAACCAAGCATTCACTGGGGTTGCAACCAAGTATTAATCCCAGGTTCAGAAGTCTTGGAAGAAGTGGTCATGAATGCATTGTTGCTCTCAGCTTCTGTATTGACTCCTTCTCTCTTCTAAATATGCTACTGCTTCAGAAGACCTACTTCTAGATCCAGAAACTAAGCCTGCCCTTGAGTTCTTGTAGAGACTTCCAATTTGACTCTTGGTCATGCCATATCTAAAAACTTTGCTTCCACTCAATAATGCTGTTGGGCAATAAAGCTTTTATGAGCAAATCCAGGTCAGTGGAAAGGACAAAATGTATGCCAGCCAAACAAAAGGAAACTCTTTTAGAAAGTGCAAAAGAAATCTTCTGGAATGTTCTAGCTGTGCTGCCCACCTGCCAGCCCCGAAGAGAGGATGCTTTTGGATATGGTGACCTTGTCCTCAGAGTTCTTGGCCCAGTCCACCATGCCCCTCCAGCCTTTCATGGGGAAGGTGATGTCAGTTGCTGCGTGAGCAGGCAGTTTGTGAATGCTGAGGACTAGAAGAAAGAAAGAAAGAAAGAAAGAAAGAAAGAAAGAAAGAAAGAAAGAAAGAAAGAAAGAAAGAAAGAAAGAAAGAAAGAAAGAAAGAAAGAAAGNAAAGAAAGAAAGAAAGAAAGAAAGAAAGAAAGAAAGAAAGAAAGAAAGAAAGAAAGAAAGAAAGAAAGAAAGAAAGAAAGAAAGAAAGAAAGAAAAAAGCATAAGATCCATGTCAATATGTTCACATCTGCTTAGAGATTGAGTGTAAGAGGAAAAAGCAAGATTTCTCTTGATCTGTCCTCCCAGTTTCCAGCAATCAGTGAGACTTTTCCAGCTAGTGGTTACATCCAGACCATCAACTTTCATAGCCACCAGTGGACATCTCCTTTGTGCATCTTCCTAATCCCATCATGAACCCATCTGTACTTTCTGGCTTCTGCAGTTTCCTCTGGCAACAAGTTCCATGCTGTGATTGTGCATACAGCATAAATCAAATACTGCCTGCTGCTTGCTTGCTGCCTGATCACTTCATTGGTTTCTGTGTAGCTCTTGTATATAACAAATAAATAAAAGGATGCAAGTAATTCTTCCCAGTTCATCACGTCTTCTCTGTTCATATTTCTACAGATGCCTCTCTAATCTCTCCTTGGAAATCTGTCCTCTAAGCTGAAGTCCTAGCTTTTTTGGAGGAAAGCCACCCCATGTTCATGATCATCCTCATTGTCCTTCCCCAGATCTTTTAATGTTCTACCACTTGCTGCCTCCCTCTTTCCCTCTTCACAGCCCAGGTCATACATATTACAGTAATTAGGTTTCTGGAGTCTCTACCCAACATGGGGAGTGCAAATCAGCTCACCCAGATTGTCTGTCACTTGGTAGGAATCCCGGAAATCTTTCATGCGAAAGCCAATGACATCAATGAAATCCTCCACAAGCCTGAACAACTCCTTGGCATTTGGCCCTGTCTGCAGAGAGAAGGAGAATACTTAGTAGCACAAATCCTAGAGCACAGCATGAGTTTCTCCTATGGCAAAGGTTTCTATCCTCACACATGTATTGGAAGCATACCCTGAGTATAACTGGGTATTATGGAACTGTGAAGAATTAGGACTGAGAAATCCTTAAAGGACATCTAGAAAAAAAATAAAGCAAAAAGTAGGGGATAATAATATGACAATCAAATTGAGAAAACTGAGGTCTGGGGGCAATATTTCTCAGCAAATCTCCAGAGGAACTCTGTAGTAGATGACGTACATACCTCTCTTACCCTATTGAGAGCAGGCAAGCTACTGCTGATATTCATTACTATCCCATTCCTACTATTAATGCAAAAAGAGAAACATGATAAGACAGACCCTTAGCAGCCATGGTTTAATATAGGTCCATTGACCAGAGTATCTGGTCCAGTATAGCTGCCAACAAGCCAGTGGAGCCACCCCAAGCCAAGAACTTCAGCTTACACCATTGATATACACAAAGAACAAGTTTGACCCAGGCTTCTCATCAGTATCTCAGACTTACGGCTACTTGGGATGTTTGGAGACTGTTTTCACACATAGACAACACAGAAGTGCAACAGGATGTCGTACAGGAGGCAAGGAAAGAAACATAGGTGAGGAATCTCTGCTTTCCCTCCCACATTTGGGCATCTCAAGGACTTATGTGTTGCTTAGCTTGAAGGCCACACTAGGAAAAAAGAGTGAGGAGATCTTTGCTGTCTTCTTCTTCTTCACCCTGATGACTTTCCAAGTATTTTTCTTTGCTCTGAGACTCTTCTAGATCAAAGACTGCAGGAAGCCTGTAGTGCACTTCAAGGCAATTCTGAAATAAATTCTTATGTAGGGAGGGAAGAGCATTCTCAAAGACAAGAATCCAGCTAAGACTAGCCTGTTTAGTGATAACAAACTTAAAAAATTGTCTCTAAGTTCCTCTGGCTAAACTCGACTCCTGAAGCACTGGCAGGCTTAAACTCACACATGCCTGTGAAGACACAAAGAGGCAGTAATGTGTCCTGAGAGTTGTTCACTTCTATTTTTATTTATTTCACGATCTCATGGAGTACTTTGATAGCATTTCACTGAACCACATCTCTGGCCCAAGCACGTCATCCAGTTGCTGGATGAGTTAGGAACAGCCTGGAAAGGAAAGTATATCCCAGAAATGCAGAAGGAGCAAACACTAAGGAAAACAGTGAGGACCTCCAGGGTCTAATATTGAATCCCAGGCACTAGATCACATCATCCTATCCAGACAAGTAGCATCGTCTGTCTTAAGGCTAAATGCTTTCTTGTTTTATTACCAAGATCTTGCTCTCCAAATAACCAAGTTGCTGCTTCTTAGACCGAGGTTGTCTGTCTCTTTGTCTTGTGTTTCTCTCAGAATATTTTCACTGTGATAGAAATATTGGCAGTAATTCATTTGCACTTTCATTTTTCTAGGCTAACACAAGACTGTTAAGCAATAGCAAGTTCTCCAGCAGTTGATTTCACAAAAAAAAAAAATTCACCTGGAATGAGTTATGCTGACTACTGATCATTTGCTCAAGGCTCATTCCCCTAAGGGAAATTAGCTAGTGCTATGAGAGAGCAAAGAAGACCAATAAACTCCTTTCATCTGTTCTTTTACTTCTTTCATGGCACTTATAGATTCTCAACATAATTCAGACCTCCTGAGGGGGCTGAGCAGAGCTGAAGGGAAAGCTGGAGAATGGGTAGGACACCAGGATGGGACAAAGGTAGAAGAGAGATAAGCTGGTGAGTCTATGGGCAGAGAAGTGCAGGACTGGTCATGCATGTTTGTCTGTCTGTCTGTCCAAAGACATTCTATCAGGATTAAATTAAAAACAATCATGCTAATACTGCAGGACCATTCATAAGGAGTAGAAAGAAGTAGGAGAAATTGTTATTAAGAGCATATTTTTATATTCTACTTTTGATTGAAATTGCAAGCTCAAATTAAAAATTAAACCAAGGCTGTGATGGTCATCTGTCATTTTCTTTCAGGCATCTTAAAATGTCTAACACAATGTTTCCAGTGACCTTGTAGGAATCTGATTGAATGCATTTCTAACTTTTTTTTTTTTTTGGTAACAACAGTGAATCACAGAACATCTCTATCCAGTGTCCACAGGGCAGTGTAATGAAGTACAATTGAGTTGAGTATATTTTCAATGTAGAAACTGGGAGTTTATCTAGCCAAATATAAGTCTTGAATTTTCTCCAGTAGCTTTGAGGGAGAAGGACAACAACTGCTTAAGCTGTGTTGTCATCCTGTGTCTGTTAGATCTCTGAGGACAATCTCTGTTCTAAAGCCACAGGGATGGACTGTGATCTCAATTCCTACTACAAGGAGTCAGACAAGAATTTCCCATAGCAGTTTAGACCATCTTGGTCCTATTTCTCATGTAGGATGCTGTAGTGCTGGCAGCAAGCTGAGCTGTGTCTAGCTATAGGTACAAAGAGCAGATTGGAAAGCCAGTGGGAATGAATTGCCACAGAGTATTAGCTGCAGCTGTTTTACGGGGATCCACAGGGTTTCCTTGTTGTTATGGCAACTCAACAATCTCCTCCGTTCTTCTCTGAAATACACACACACACCTGAGTGCTTGAAACTGAGCATTTGGTCTTTTATCTTACTTGGAACCAGACCATGTCACCCACCTACTGATCCTAGACCATGCCATCCACTTGAATGCATCATGTCAATGCCCAATCTCAGGGAGAAAAAGGGCACGTTCATGAGGCTACTCAGCTCTTGGTGAAGCTCCTGTCTCATGAAGGAACTGTGACATATTGAGTTATTCAAGCCTCTTTCTCAAGTAGTGGACTGCCAAGGAGTATGTCGACATCAGTTGTTAAGACTTCTTTCTAGAATACTCTCATGGTTGATGCAATTGTAACTAGCTTCTGGGGCTGCTGTTTGCACTGGGCAATTCTTTCTTCCTTATTTGGTATTTTCCAACCTTTTGGAGGAATTTTGGAACAGCAAAGGATGGCTAAAAAAGAGCTGCCATACTCAGACCAACACCTTCCGTGGGATCAAAGTCTCTAAGACACTGCTATGTGCTTTGTCCCGGTTATATTGTGTGCTAAGACCAAGGCAAGGTGGAATTTATCTTCCAAGGTGCAGGAACAAGGAATGGAAAAGGAACTAGCACTTTCATGGATCCATCAAGCAGAGCTGCTGGTCTGAGACAGTCATTTCACTCTGATGGGACTGCTGAAGGGTCCCATAAGGCAGAGGCTTTAAGTGTCTCAGAGGTTTGCAGAAATGATTAGAAAAGGACAAGGAGTAAGTCTCCTACAAGCTCAAGTAAAGACTATGACTGGGGCATAGGTAAGGAAGGCATGGACAGAATAACACACAACATCTCTGCCTGGTATACTAGGTTTTAGCTACTAAATTGCCTAGTAGAATCTCAAACTTCAGGAGGAGAGAAGAAAGTAAAATGTAACTAAGCCCTAGTTCACCTTGTCCTGAGCAGAACCAGAAGCTCAAGTGAGCAGAGATCTGACCTCTTCAAGACTGACCCATGAAGATCCTGTCTCTCCTGCATTTTTTTTCACCAGGAGCTCAAGCCCGTGTAAACCCTCTACTTTATTTTGACAAAAGAAATAGAGAGGAATTATTCCAATTCAGAAGGGTCACCAAACCAAACTGGATTTCTGAGATTCTCTATGAAGAATTTGGTATTCACCCTGATGTATAGCTAAGATCCTATAGCTCAGTGAGTTACTCTATAAATACAACTCATGGTAGCCTGGCAGTAGATTTACATGCACAACTCTTTTCATAGATGGTCTGATTGGCAGTAACCCTATCAAAGGCAGTTGATTCTGAAGCTGGCCACAGTTGACCACATGCAAGTAATTTGTCTCTTTCATCACAAGGAGTTATCCAAGGGGAACAGTGATTGTGGTTGGAAATATTCTTCATGGATGGAGGTCTGTGGCTGTCATCAGTCCATGTTGTCCACAATACATTATGGGCAAGAAGAATTAGGAAGTCTATCTTAAGACTTAAGCCTACTCTGAAAACCTGTCCTGTTTCAGGGAACTTTCAAGTTTTCATACCAGCTGAGCTTCCTCCCATTTGTCACGGTTTTCCTCTGATAACAGGTTGCTGATGATCTGGACAAAGTTCTGGAGGAGAGAGAGAGAGAGAGAGAGAAAGAAAGGAGGTGATGAACAAAACAGGTTAAAAGTAAAGCTTATATCCAAGACTTTCACTGTGACTGCTATAGCTTCTAAGGCACTAGACAGAGAATATGTGTTGTCTTCATTGCTGAAGATTTTTAAGAGCAGCTGTTAGATACACAGCTGCTAGAAATTGGCTAAGAATAGGGGATTTTGCCTTGTGCTAGTCTCTTCCCGCCCTTTATAATATTTTCATTATTTCAAGGGAAATTTCGTTATAGTCCTCTCTCCTCTTTGGGAAAGAAAAGCAGTGAAGGAGCAAAGGGAGGCTGTGCATAGTGGTCATTTTCTGAGATTATGCAGCACACAACAAGAAAGGAGACAAGTGATTTCAAGACCATTGATTTTTTTCTCCAGTTCTGCCACCCATTGCAGATCCTGCAGGATTAGTTTAACGTTTCAAGCTGTGTAATGATGACCTATCCCATGGGTGTATCTTATAGCCGCTCAGCTTGTAGCTGCTGAAAGTAAAATCCTAGAGTGAGAAGCTATGGAGACGTTTTCCTACATCTACATCCTGGTACTTAATACCACAGGATCATCTTACCTCTAGTCATTAGACTGCAATCCTTTCCAAACAACACTCTCATGTCAATTAGACTCCACAGTAAGTGCTGTTAGTTTGGATAAGTGCTATCATCCACTTTGGTTTTCAAGTTCATTTTTTTTATATGCCAGGGAGAATGACCTCAAATGGGAGGTTGTTAGCACAGAGAGTCACTTCACTTGGGCAGAAATTTTTCTCTGTTCCCATCAGCTTTGATTTGACTCCAAAGGACAGATTCAAACTCTAAGCTCTGTGCATGCCTCTATATCATATCCTGCCTAGCAGTGTGCATTCCAGCTCACCTGCACATCCCCAGAAGTTGGGCTGTAATAAGCCCTACGGAAGATCTCTGTCATATTCCTGAGTACGTCGATGGTAGACAGCAAGTCCCCACTGTAGCTGGTCCCATCCTGAGAGATTTCCACAAGGTTCTGGAGCACATCCGACAGTCCATCCCCCATCAAGCCACGTTGAGCTTTGGAAAGATGTTCCCTGGTCTGAGAGACAGAAAGAAACATGACAAATGTTCATGACAGTCAAAACTCAAGTTAATGAGCTCAGTGGAGGAATTGCTGGGGGAAAGTTTATGACCTTCCACATAATTCAGAGAACAGATTAGATGAATATGACAATATCTCAGCTGGACTGAGAGTCTATGATATTTATAAAATGGTAGCAGAGCAGAAGTCAGGTTTTTGGTAGGCACACGAACAAAAGGTTGTTTGTAGACTCAGAAGAGGTTATTTACTACACAGAGGCTACTCTACAGATAACCCAAGACCAGAAAACAGATTTTTGTTTTTTTGTCCCAGACTTGTCTTTTAACTGAATTGTACCTACCGTTGAAGGAACTGTAGCTAGTCCTGAACAGGAAAAGACAAGTCTAATAAAGGTAATAGCATTTTAAGGCATGGCTCAGGAGAATAGCAAAATGGGAGATTTCATCACAACATGAACTTTTTGAGACTGATGAAAAATAAATGACCTATTTAATGTTATTATTATCAGCAAAAATGTTACAAACACATTATAATAATCAGTGAGAGACGATCCCTTGTGCATTGTTGGATTTTTTTCCTCAACTGCAGCAACTAAAAAGCAATTTTGAAAGATCTTGTTTAGCTGAGAGGCCGTCTTCCTTACCATCATCTGTATGTTTCTGTAATCAATAGAAACACACTTGATGTATGTTGGAGGGTCCCAGTAAGCTATCCCTTCTTCATCTAAAGTGCATCTTCGAAGGATCAGCCCTAAAAGAGGAAAGAAAAGAGTGTGGGAGTGGAAACGATAGAATGAAAAGCCAAACATCTTCCTAGAGGTGACCGAGAACTGACCAATGCTGGTACAAAAGCATACCTACCAGCACAAAGAGCAGCAGGAGCATCTGCTAATGCATGAAACACATGCACTATCATATAGGACAGGTTATTTATAGTTCCTTTTCCAGCATTTTCTCAGTGAGAAGCAGGAGAATGAAAGAGAATGAGAGTGGAAACAAAAGCCTTGCGATTGGGACCTGGCTAATTAAAGCAAAAGAAGAGTTTTCCTGCCTTGGTATACAACAAGATAAGTCCCACAAGCTTCTTGAGTTGACATGGTCCAGGTCTTACAGCTAAACCAGCCTCAGTGGCTCATGCTACCTACACTATCTCAACAAGAATAAACATCCAACAGCACCCTCTTTGCATCAGCTGAAAAGCTCTGGAAACTGCTTGTAATCTTCCCCCACGTTCTTCCTGAGCTACATTGAGTTTTGCAGCGGTGATCGTGTGTCTCTGTGATGCAGAGGAAGAGAGGTATCAGCAAGAGAATTTTGAGCAATTATAGTGCCATTTGAAGAGTTTCTGAGGAGCTGGCTTTGGCTGGGGCCACAATTCCATGATTGATTTAAATGATTTAGTGACCTGGCTATGGACACAGCCCTTCCTCTAGGCTAGCGCTTAGGATAACACTGGATAGCCTAGGATAGACTGGATGAGTCAGAAAGCTTCAGGGTGTGCCTGTGTCCTCAACCTCATTAAAACACAATAAAAACCTTTATGTTCATTACAGGAACTGTTGTCCCCATTTCATTTCCTGTGTGGAAGTGAATATCCAATTAAGGACAGGATTCACCATCAACACTGGAACTTTGTTCTCTTGCACTTTCAGCTCCTTAGGAAACACAAGTCTGCAATCTCCATGGATAACACCTAATTGTGCAGACACTATCACCTCAACCATCATGGTCAGATCATCTATCTCAGTGTCTAAAGATATGTTTAGGGAGATAGTATGGTTTCTAAGAAAGAAACAGAAGCATCTATGTGTCATTGAATAATGCAACTCAGATGACCAACTTTCAGATGTTAGCTTCTTCTATGAAGAAAAACACTCACAAAATTAAAGTCAGGGGATTCTAATTATCAATCCATAGCTGCTTCTGCAGAGCTATTTGTAGATAACAGGGTGGGCAAAGTGAAGTTATCCCAGTGAAGCTATCCCAGGACTAGGCCGTAGCTGGATGCTAAGGAACCTCAGATTCCCCAGGATGAAGCAAGAAGGTTAACAGCTACCATGAGGTACCTGGAGGTACCATGGAAACCCAGGGAGATTTCATTCAGCCTTGATCCCATGGAGAGAAGTCCCATTGTTCATCCTCTCTTCCCATAACCAGGTTCCCCTCATGTGAGAGATGATGAATGAAGGATGCTCGGAGGGCTCCAGCTCCTGGGCTGGGACATGCGGTCCCCCTTACCCGTAGCATTGCGTGGACATCGGACAGCTGCAGCATCCCCAGCAGGCGTCTCTTTCCATACCACAGAGGCAAGGTTTTCCTCATCACAGATTTCATGGGGCTCTGCAAGGAAGGAGAAATTCTATTGGTAAAAGCTCCTTCCCCAGGTCACAAACAGGGAAACAAAATGACGAGAAAAGAAGAACCCCTGGGGAAAACAAAAGATTGATCCAGAGGAAAGAGCATTGAAAAGTAAGCTAGGATGTCCGGAGGTGAATTCCCAGTTCCATAGCTGTATTAGTACCTGCTCCCATTCAAGCCCATCAACCTCTCTGGAGTTTGCTCTATCTGAAAACTGGGCTGCAGGCCATGTCGAGGATTAGCTAGCTAATACACGCCTAGCTAATACACACCTAGCTAATACACACCTAACAACCTGGGAAAGTGCTAACATGTCTGCCTTGCCTTGTGACAGATCTTTGGAATAAACATGTTACTGCAGAGGAGTTTTCTTTCTTCTTCTTCTTTTTTTTTTTTTTTCTTTTTTTTCTGATTATGTGGAAGACAGACACCTTTTTGGTGTGAATACTATGGTTGCAGAACCTAATCCTGGTCTATCCCTCTGAGTCACCACATAGATTTGGGGCTGGATATTCCTAAAATGCAGCTCTGAATAAATAAGTTGGAGTAAGAATGAAGGAAAGAACAGCAAATGGAGTTAAAAAAAAAAAAAAAACAAGAAGGAGATATGCTTCAGGTGGATCTCCTGCAATTCCTCTGTTGCATCTTTTGTGGGAACTCAAGAAGACTGGAGTACCAGCAGGCTGGATTTACATCTGCAGCTCATTTGTGAATGTTACTGCAGAGCCCAGCAGACTGCAGAAATGTGCAAAAAGCATTCACAGATGCTACATAAAAATCCCTTTGGAAGGAGACATCTTTCAGCTGCTTTCACCTGTGCAAGGAGGGTGTCTGCCACAGAGGAAGGAATTTCTACTGAGAAGCTCATTACTTGCTTTCCATAAAATAGAGGGGATGGCGAGCAGGGTATTAAAGCTATTTATCTCTCTTGAAGGTGGGAGAAAGAAAAATTGCAGGGAAAGCACACATGTTCTGCAAAGATGGAGGGGGACTTTGTTTTTTCATACTTTCCCCAAGAGAGCTGCTGGGAAGCAGTGACCCTGAAGGTGTCCTGCCATATGGGACTGTGCAATGCACGTGTTGACAGAGAGCAGCCAGCTCAGGACCTGCATCCCCGGCAAATCTTCAGGGAAGGAGGCTCCCCAATGCTGTTCTGGAGCTGCCTGGAGCATCAACGTGGTGGAGCATCTGTGGAGGGTTCAAACCTTCAAAGTCCTGGTGCTATGAAGGACTCATATGGAACTGAACAAACTGCCTGCACCTCCCTAGCTCCAGCTGTATCCCTCCTCAGCTATCTCAAAGACAGACTGCTCCCTGGCCCATCCAGTGGGAGCTCTGTAGATAAGGCCGAATATGTGCAGAAAAGTGACACCTTTATTCCCATGTTTTTGACAAGGCGATGCAGGACAGAGGTCAAGTTGCCCACTTACCACTGCCCTGTGGCCACCTAGAAAGCCCATGACAAAGAGCTGAATGCAAAACTCCTGAACCCTGGCACAGGGCTTTGGACACCATCAGATGTCCTCAAGACAAAACTGTGATTCACAGCAGAATCTAGGGCATGGGATACAGAGCTTCGAGCACCCTGAGTTGCGGGATAGTGGAACAGACATTGCACATCAAAAAGCAGAGTTTATTCCCATCAGACCCACTCATCGTCCTCCCTTTCTAAACCACCAAACCTGTCCTGTTTCCCTACCCCTGCAGTCTCTCTGGGGACCACTGAGGGATGCTGTGGACTAGAGGGACTAGAGATACTCATTAGCAATACATGAGTTGTCTGGTATTGTCTTGCCAGTGAGAGCAGAGGGAAGTCCCAGGCCAGGAGAGTCGTTTCACATATACTATTTTTTTCTTTCTTTTTCCTTTCTTTCAATTTTTTAATATTTCTCCAGAGCAAAATCCCTTTTTTTTTTTTTTTTTTTTTTTTTTTTTTTTTTTTTTAATCAGAGTAACCTATTTGCACTAGGAGATGTTAATAACTAACCCAATTAAGCTCAATTCTTCTGCTCAAATCAAATCATGCCGGTATTTGATACATTTTCCAGAACAAATTGAGCTGGTTTATTTTTAGCCTCCAAAAACTCCCCTTTTTCTTGCTCTGCAAATTAACAACTGCAGTGAGATCCCCCCTAGTACTGAACCCTAGTATGGCTCAGTCCCTGGGACATGCCTTTGCCTTTCAAACACTCCGCAGACATGAGATTCTACAGAAAAGAGGAAAAAAGATTGGTCTTGTTCTGCCAGAGCCCCAGCTGGCACAGGCTGAAGCTGAAGTAAATCTGTATCACTCTGTAGACACCACCAGATGACCTGGTGCTAAGATTTTCTATGGCAAGGGAGACCTTTGCGGCTAAGTTTGAAGAGACTTTCACACGCCACTGCTAATTGAGGGGTGCAGCTCGCAAGAAGAGGTGATGTCTTTTATGAGAACATAGCTGTTAAAAAAAGGGGGAAAAAAAGTGACTATGCTTTCTCACAGCCTCTTTATCAGGTTTCTCTTCTAGTTAAACTCCTGCACTGAAGCATTTGGTCTTTTATCTTTGCAGCTCGTAAGGGACTCGGGCAGGCAGCAAAATGCTGCAGAACTTCCTCAAAAAAACGGCTCTAAATGCACTGACTTTGTGTCAAGCTACGTGTCGTCTTCTTGAGAGCCCAGACTGCTTGGGTGACTTCACGGGAATCCCTCCCATTGCTCCCTGAGCTCTTCAGAACAATTAATTAACCTCCTGGTCAAAAATCAGGGCCCATTACGATCAATGTGGTCTGGCTGCCAGCATCACACAGGCCATCGATTTCCCACCAGCAATTTCACCAAAAGGCCTTTTAAATGTGACTGTGAAAGAGAATAAAAATAGTGCACCGGCCTTTTTACTTTTCTTCCTGTCCTCTTTATACCAAGTAAGAGGCAGCTGGAAGAGTTCTCACTTGCATTTCCTTCTGATTATTATTTGCACTAAAACTGAAGATATTTTTCACATTAAAACTCACAATTTCCTCTGTCCTGTCTCCCAACCCTTGTCCTCCACTTGGATTTTTTTGCACTCTTTTTTTCTGAGGTGGATGCTGTCACCATTGCTATGTCTCGAGAGGAAGGATAAGGCAAGGTAAAGATCTGACAGATATAGATGTGTCTGTCCTGTTTAATACTGCCGTTGGCATGCAGGTTTCCCAGAAGCTACATAAATTGTGGGAAACCACTATATCATCCTCAGCACTCAAATACATGGACTGGGGACAATGCTATTTTTTGCCTCTATCAAATCACGTGTCTCTCTTCCTTTTAAAACTCCACAGCAGTGAAAAGCACTGTATATACACCCATGGGTTTTATCAAACACTCAGTGGAAACAGCAGGATCCTTGCACTGTCTTTGGCAAGAATTCAATGAAAACCCTTGATGTGTTTTGTGCCTGTGTTATGGGCAGCATCAAACAAAATTGTAGTCACTGTTGCATTCATGAAGTTCTCTGATGCATGTGCTCAGTAGTTCTTTCCAGAAAACCCTGTTCTCCTAGTGCAGCATCATAGGATCCATGGGGCACTTACCAGGACATTTCCTGTCATTGCACTGTTTATACTCTTCCTTGGGCCCCTGGCAAGTCGCTCCACCAAAGAAAGGCCCATAGCACACACGGTCACGTCTCTGAGTCCCACCTCCACACGTGGTGGTGCAGCTTCCCCAGACGCCCCATGCCTGCCATTTACCATCCACTGGAAATGAAAAAGAGGAGAGAAACAGCCTGTCACATCCCATGACCACCCACAGCAGAGGAAAGCAAGTAGCCAAGGTAAACCTGGAACATGTGCTTTAGTAAAGCCTGACTCTCTGTGAAGTGACATCTTCTGCCTTGGTTTCTTTTCTGCTTTCTCCATAGAAACAAATCAGTGTGTCCTCTTCACACTAGTCTAAAGGGACCAGGAGGGCCTTCAGGGGAGAAACCATGAGGACACATCAAATAAAGGTCTCTCCATCTGTTTCCATTGCATCATTACTTCATATGCCTTAGATAGAAATTTTGTAAGAGCCCTGGGCTTAGAGTCTGTCTTATTTCATTGTATCTTCTCCAAGCATTTCTCAAGATTCAGCGGAAATACTTTTTCTTTCTAAATTATCAATGGCATTTATCAAAACACTGTAAAAATGTTAATTAGTCCTCACAACAAGCCTGCAAGTAAGGAAGCATTCTCCTGCATCACAGATATAAAATAATAACTCAGTGACAGAACTAGAGCAAGAATTTTAGCCTCCTGTTTCCTACTTGGTTTTTAATTAGGAGATAACAGATCATCCTGGGTCTGATAACTCCTGTTGAGAGGGTGGAGGATCCCACTCTTTTTTTCTCCAAACAGTGGAAGAAAATTATTATCAAATAAAAGGGACAGGTCCAAGCTCTGATGCTTTCTAAAGTGGTACCATATGGAGTCCAATGTTCCTTCAGTCTCTAACTCTGAAATCAGTGGGAGGAGAATGCCTAAAAACAATCAGGCACTTTGTGTCTCTGAAAATCTTCAGAAGTTTCAAAGACAGAGTGGGACGTAGGAATCTACTAGAGTCCATGTAGGAAAACACAATATCTATGATGTCAAACAATTTTTTATGTTATTCTGCTGCTATAAAGTAGATTCCCATGCAGATGATGGTCCTCTCCATCTCAGAGGCACACTGCTTCTCAGCTCCACCTCAGCTAGCAGCCCATGAGAGGGCCAAGGGCCAGGAGAATCACAGCAAGAACTAGTCATTGATCAAGCTTGATGGCTTTGGGAGGTTCAAGTCTTATCTTCGGATGGGAATATTTTCTACACAAGCAGGTCCACTCAATCCCTTGGCAATGGCCCTCCCCAAGAAAGAGGAAAATTGCATCGATTCCACAGTGGTGGCATCAGCCTGAGAAATGACAGCTTCTGATATTAGTTGAGCTGAGACATCTGCTCCTATTTTTGTTCCTTTTCTTGCCTGAAGTGGTTCTCCTGGAACTACCTTGTGCTAGCCCTCATCACAGAAAAGGTTTAAAGCCATGATAAAAAAGGGAGTGTTGCCCTACTGGCTTTACCTATAGCTAGGAGCGTTCAGCTGCTAAAGAACAGACTAGAGAAGCAAAAATAACAAAAAAAAAAAAAAAAAAAAAAAAANCTTTACCTATAGCTAGGAGCGTTCAGCTGCTAAAAAAAAAAAAAAAAAAAAAAAAAAAAAAAAAAAAAAAAAAAAAAAAAAAAAAGAGGCAAGTAGAAGTATTGCAGAGGCACAGGAAGGATTTTGTTTGACTTTTTTTTTTTTTTTTTTTTTTTTTAAAGAACATGCTGAAAATTGGTAACTAATTTTAGAAAAACACTTTCTGTGGAGGCAATCACTCATTTCTCCAGTCTCCTGAGTCTCCTTGAGCATTTGATCACTACGGATTGTGGTTTACCTGGTCCACTGGTACCACCAACTCCTTATTACTGCATTAGTGGTGAAACGGTTCCACCCTTCCCCAGAGGAAATAGGTAGGAATTTTACAAAAGCCTACCTGTAACTACAGAAAAGGATGAAAAAGATGAAGGCATTGGCCACTGACCTGGACACTGCCGTAGGAAACAGTCCCTGGTCTCCACCCAGTGTCCCTGACACTCTGCTCCACCATAGGAGGGCCCGTTGCATTCCCTTGTCCGCTGCTGGGTGCCGTTGGAGCAGGAGGCAGAGCACGAGCTCCAGCTCGACCACTCATTCCAGTTGCCGTCCACTGAGTGGCCCAAAGAAAGAAAACAAAACGGAATGTGAAAATCGCTCCCACTGGAAGGAGGCAAGAGCACCTGTGCAAATTGGTGGAGGGGGGGCAAAAGGTGGGGATAAACTGGATGCATGGAGTAGGAAGGAGAAGAACATCAAGGAAAAGTTCAGACAAGTGTGGCAATGGTAATTTCTTAGGACCTGCAGCAACCTCTGACACACATTTTATGGCCCAGGAACTGCCCTTTGTGGACACAAGTGCCTAGACATTTTTAAACTCATACTCTACATAGTACCATAAAGTTGAAATCATTAATATTATACATTCCAACATGAAAGTCAAAAATATTAATATTCTAGATATAACATAGAGAGCACAAAACATATTTTCATGTTTGTTTGGGTTTTTTTAAGGAATCCATACATTTCCACAACATTTTCCTTTAGGTAACCAGCACTTTTTGAGGGAACATTTTTCACCATGACTCATCTGAAATAATGTATGAGCCTAGAAAGAAGGGAACTTCCTCTACTCCTCTACAAATTTTTGTTGTGTTTTTTTTTTGTTTTATTTTGTTTTCAGAGCAATTGTTAAAACACATACAAACTGGAATCACAGAGTTATTCAACAGAATTCAAACTGTCAGACAGAAAATACTTGGAGCGTAGGTGTGATCTAATGTGACATCATGAGTAGAGAGCATGTGTGTGGTCAGTGTTCTCCTCTCATGGCTGAATTAACACTGACAGCCTTGATATGTCTCAACACAGAAGCAGCTCAGATAATTAAATAGGCGAGGAAGCGAAAAGAGAAGTTATGATAAGGACAGGAAGAAGCATGACTACATCTTATTGGCATGACATAAGGTAAAACATTCCCAAGGGTGGTACTTAAACCCTAATTGGACCCTGATCAACAGACAGCTCACCCAGTCCACTATTCTTGGAAAACTTTTCCTCATTAGCAGCATGTTTTCTACCTTTCACTAACTATTAGTTCATACTCAAAAATTAAACAAACAAACAAAATAAGTCTAAAACTTAGCTTAAATTGTATTTTTTTGTAGATTCCAGATTTCTTTTTTTTTTTTACTTTGTTTGCCAGTGCAGGAAGAAACACATACAACCTGATCCATTGTGTAATTGTAAGTCTTTGAACAACTCCCATTAACTCCCAGGGCAGCTGAGTGGCATTTTTTCGTTTGTTTATTTTTAAGCATGTAGAAAAATGCCAAAATACCTAGCTGTTAACTCAGAGGGTGCACATGAGCTCTGTAAGTCTGAAAAATAAGGCACTTCCAGAAAAAAAAAGGTGCCTAACAATCCAAGCTTGATGCTTTCATCATGTGTAAATTCAACATGTCACATTAATGTATATCATTCCCAAGGAGGCAAATTGCAAGAGGTGGTGACTGGGCAGAGGTAATTCTTCTCTGGAACTGATCCAAAAGCCCACCGAGTAGATCATACCAAAGCTCTGTTGTCTCTGCAGCAGAGCATTTTTTTTTTTAATCAGCTATGTTAATAAATTCTTAGAGCAGGGCAGGCATAGGTAATAGGACCGTCTAGTGCATCAAACGCTGAATGTTGTTGTGCTTCAGTGAGTCCCATGGTGCTGCACTTATTTGGCACCGCAAAGCCACTGATTGCTTTTGTGGCATTAATTAGAGCTGAAGTCTTTCAGTTGGGCTGCCTGTCTCTTTTAGCACTATTTCATTTGCCACAGTGTAGCCACATATTTATTTGTATTTAAATTAATTATGGATCAATGTTAACTCAAGATATGCTTTATTGCCCAAGCAATACTAGTCCTGACTTTTTCAATTTGTCTTTTTATGACAGAGCCAATTTCATAAGTGGGATGTTCTTTATTCTGAGCACAGTCTTTGGACTGTGGCCAGAAATCCAAGGATAGTTTTTTGGGTGAAAACCAGGCATAAAATGCCAGTAGCCTTTTCACTAATGTTTTCGCAAAGTTCTTAATCACTCCCACATTCCCTCTTCTCCTCTGGGGACGTAATAAATTTTCATAATGGTTCTCACGAAACTTTAAAAAAAAATAGTTGAAATTATCCCCTGAGGAATGAGGGGATAACCCTCCTGTTTAGATCGCAGTTTACCAGAACACTCTGATCTCCGAATGAAGATAATGGGGGGTCAGTGATAAACTCAAGGCCCATCTGTTTCGGAGAAAGAATCCAGAGGAGCTCAATTGGATTTCCAATGGGTAAAAGCTGTTTCCTCTGAGGTTGATTTCTAATGTTTCAAAAGAAAACTTAGGAAAAAGTGCTTGGAAGTTAAATCTAAGATTAGGAAAAATAGTTCCTCCAAGTGTTAAAAATATGGCAGGGAAGACTCTCAGAAATAACTCTGCCTTTGTCACTGCCCAAGGCAGGATCAAGTACACAGAGAGCTTGCATATATGGCAAAATCCAGGCAGATATAATAGTAGCAAAGAAAATTATTAATTCCAGAAAAACAATAAGCTCAATTGGTCAGAGCAACTTCAAAATATCCACTAGACATCATGAATAAGAAGTCTAAGATGGTCTTGCAAGTAGTAGTGACAACTGAGCCAACCCAAGTCTATCCCATGTAGGATGTCCTGTGGAGGGGAAATCTGAACCTCGCATGATACTGAAACACATACACTCAGAAGGTTCCTCTAGGTGGCTCCTCCAGTGTACTCCTTCCTTACCCCAATGGATTCTCTTTAGGAAGTGTGATCTGTGTGCTCATCCAGCACAGATGGGCAGCCGGACATGCGCCCAGTGACAAAATCCATGTCCTTCTTCAGTGTTGAGGAGACCTGCTGAAGGGAAGGCTCCGCATCTCTAACTGCCTTACCTGGGCAAAGTGCAATGTTGCAGAACTTTGTTTGCTTTTCTGGGCCCTCACAAGGGTTCCCACCAAACTGAGGAGGTTTGCATGTGCGGGTCCGATCCCGGTATCCTCTCCCACACGTGGAAGAGCACAGGCTCCACGGAGACCACTCATCCCAGGTGCCGTGCACTGAAATCAAAGCAGAAGAAGTAAGTTTCCCTTATGAAGGGAGGTCTGGAGACCCGATAAGTGAGCCCACAGAGCACAGCATCTTCCCACTCAAATAAGCAGTATGTGAGAAAGTAGTGTAGGAAGACCAAGAACAAACCAGCCTGAAATATGCAACAGGAACATTGTGTAATATTTTATGATTTGGTATTGGCACCAAGTGTCTCTCACTTTCCAGCCTACATAAAATAAATCTTAATGCACTTTTCATTGACCCTATTTTTGTCTGATTTCTGAGTCCAAGGAGAGGACATTTTTTGAACAAAAGGTGCACTAAACTGGAGAGGAGCAAAAAGGTCCTTTGAAGAGTAGCATCACTATCATTTTGTAACTTTTTGCCATTATTTCCCTCTCTCATCATTTTTTTAATCATTGAATATTCAAAGGTTGCAGCTTTTCAAGCTCTCAGAAAGGCTGTAATGTATCTACCAATTAGTGTCATATAGCAGTGACATCATTCGAGCAAACTCGGGGAAACTTAAAAGAATAAAGTGGACATGCAATATTCACGCACCACACTTCTGGTCATCACTGATAATTCCAAGAATTAGATATTCAGAGACTTCTAATCCATATAAATCTAATTTTATCCAATCTAATCTAATCTAATCTGATTGGATTATTTTAGAAGGTTAGTGACCATAACTGCTAGAGGGCAAATGTTGTCAGAATATACTGATGTCTCTTAAGAGATAAAGTAGTTGAATAACAAAATTCTTCAGAATAATACTCAGGTCTCTCAGACCATATTTGTTCATTAGAATTGTAGAACAAGGAATATGAAAGCAATGAGAAGTGTTGTCTCACTTCTTAAGCAAACCAGAAGTATAAGTTTTTAATGTGGACTTTGCAATGGTATGCACAGTGTTGGAGTTTGAGCAACTAAAGGTCAAAGATGTCACCTGGTGTTTTACTTTCCAAGTCTGCCACATGCTTGGAAATTCCCCACAAGGACATGATCCTTTCAGATTCGCATGTGTTAATTTCATTTAAAAAAACATGAAATTGTCAAGGCATGCAGAACCACAGTCCACCCACTGGGACATGATCTGCTGAAGGTTTATGAGACTTTATGGTAAAAAAAGAAGGGAAGGGGAGTCTGCCTCCAATCACCTATTGTGCACTTGCAAGTCTTTATCGCACCAAGAGAATAAGTTACCTAGAAAGGGTGAACGAAAAGCAAACACTGCTGAGAAGATCTCATCTTCTCCCTTTCCACCCATGGGTGCTTTGAGATTTAGGTCAAGGAATTAGGGAAGCTTTAGGCTATAGAGGGCACTAAACATTATCAGAGTTGAAAACCTGATCTGTTGCATTGCAGTCTTTACTGGAGGTATGACAAGATATCATGGGTGGTCAATACTCCATGCACTCTGACTCCCTTCCGCTTCTGCTCATTGATGGATGGAGCACTCAACCTACCTGGGCACACGGCAGAGTTGTTGCATTGTCTCTGCTCCCGGAGAGGGCCGCTGCACTGAGTGCTGTAGGAAGACGACACACAGAACCTGGTCCTGGTCTGCCAGCCCTCTCCGCAGGTAGTTGAACACACACTCCATGGGGACCACTCCTCTGCTGCAGGATCACCTGTTGGGGTTGGAGCAGAAGGTGAGGACATGGCATCATTGATCCCTGGACTCTGGCATAGAAATTTTCAAACTGTATTTCATCAACCATTGAAAATCCGTGAAGCTACATCTGGTGTGACAGCAAGGGTGCAAGGGAGTTTGTGAAAAAAATGTAAAGGTTGACACAACAGTCCAAAAGGTTTTGGGGATTTGGTTCTTAGAATTATATATTTAGAATTATAAAAAAAAAAAAAAAAAAAAAAAAAAAAAGGAAAGATAGGGTAGAAGCACCAGGACACTGGGTAGCTGGGTAGTGCAGGTTCCACCACTGATGCCACTACATCACCACTACAACACCAGATGAGATGAGATATATATACCCAATTTTGAGATGGTAGCAATGATTAGATAAGGATAGTAAACATCCATAATTGGAGAATTCATAAAGATTCAACTTCTGTCTTCTCAGTTCAGATTGACAGCAGAAGAGAAGACAAAATACAAAGTGATAGTGCCCGAGAAGGACATTGACTTGACTAATCCCACCAAGGCTTCTCCTATCATTTTATCCTTGTGGAGAACAACTGCCTTATAACACATGACATGGAGCAAAGTTGACTTTCTCAGACATGGTACATTGCTTCTTAACTACTTACCTGATAGGGCAGCATTGGAAAGGACAGTAAAACATTCCATCAACCATAAGATGGACAATAGAAAGAAGGGAAAGATATGTATTCCCTCTATCATTAATATCCCCAAAAGCACATAATAGTAACAGTGGTACTTCGCTCAGGCCATAGTGTCAAAAAAAAAAGTCATCAAGAGTGTGGTACAGGCAGGAAAAAGACAGTTTTCCATGAGTTTTCATAGTCAATAAATACCTCGGAGAAAATGTCTTTTTCTCTGCATGAAAACAAAAGCCCACTCTGTTTCATTTAATTAAATTCAGCATTGTTTGATTTTTTATTTTTTCTATGTATTACTAATAATTAAACATGATAAACCTAGAAAATAACATTTGGCATGTATAGTAGACAGGCATATGGCAACAACAAACACCAACAACACGTCTTTGAGGTTGCACAATATAGAGGTCTTCTAGCAGTAAATTCCTCAAAGCATCTGACAGCATCATGTTGCATCCCAACAAGATGTATCTGGCAGACTGTGGTGGTAGGCACAAGGACCACAGCACTGGGTGGAGCATAACTTAAGAGGGACCTACAATGTGGCACATATGGGCTTCTGGCCTGCATCAGGAGGAGTGTTGCCAGCAGGTCAAGGGAGGTGATTCTGCCCCTCTACTCAGCTCTGATGAGGCCGCACCTGGAGTACTGTGTGCAGTTCTGGACTCTCCAGTACAAGAGGAATATGGAGCTTCTAAAGAGGGTCCAGAGAAGAGCAACCAAGATGATTAAGGGACTGGAACATCTCTCATATGAGGAGAGACTGAGTGAATTGGGCCTGTTTTCTCTGGAGAAGAGAAGGCTGAGAGGGAATATGATTAATATGTATAAGTACATGTAGGGGGAATGTAGAGAGGAAGGCGCCAAGCTCTTCTCAGTGGTTGCCAGTGACAGGACAAGGGGCAATGCGTGCAAACTGCAACACAGGAAGTTCCATCTCCATGTGAGGAGGAACTTCTTCACTGTGAGGGTGACAGAGCCCTGGAACAGGCTTCCCAGGGAAATTGTGGAGTCTCCTTCTCTGGAGGTCTTCCAAACCTGCCTGGATGCCACCCTGTGCCACGTACTTTAGGTGTCCCTTCTGGAGCAGGGGGATTGGACTAGATGATCTCTAGAGGTCCCTTCCAACCTTAACCATTCTGTGATTCTGTGACATTCTAAGGTGCACCCAACATTTGGACTCATTTCCTGCACCATGATCAAATTCCTCAGACAAAGCTGGACTGGGGATTCCACATTGGACTGATCAGCTGCAACATGAAGAGTGAGAGATACCTGACTTCTGGGCTGCTTTTGCTTGGTATCTAGGTCTGCTTTAGGGCAACAAGTGCTTGAGACTCAGTGTAAATTCAGTAGTCATGATGGGAATTGTAAGTGCCACAGATCACCACACTGCCCAAGATAACTGAAGGTATCAACTGTGATATCATCTAAGGTCGTTTGAAGCTGTCCATGTCTGACATCCTTCTCAAGACAATTTATTCATTTACTGAAGCAATCACAGTCACAGTGAGATTTGTCAGCATGCAGTGAAGCATTATACTGGATTTCAAGCATCCATGGCAAACTGACCAAGCAGAGTATCAGTTCATTTACCTGTCCATTGAAATGTTGGGTATTGATATTTACATTATCTTGTATGCATGGTGGTTTACAGCAAATCTGCTTTGTATAGCTTTCCGTACCTCATCTATGCTGTTACAAACATTATTGTGAGCTCTTCTTTCAAAGTATGATTTCACACTAACAAAGTCAGGGACCAAAATAAAATGCATTCCTCTTGCAGTTTGCACTCTGCCCGCTTAGAGGGACGGATGTCAGACATAACTGATTATGTTCATTAAGCCAAAGTTGCTCAGTATTCCTTCATTCTGCATCAGATTATTCTACCTGGCTGGTATCAGCTAGGCAAAGTTTGTTGACCCTCATCTTCTCCGGGATCTAGAGGAGACAGACCATGTTTTGAGGCTTTGAGGCTTCAAGGAACCATCTGTCCCATATCCTCTTTCCCAAGTATTAGATATCCTGGTATATCTAAAATTCCACAGTAATTAGACTCCCTTTCCAATAATTGTTGGTACTCAGTTGGCTCTGTTGCATATATAGGCTTGTGATACTCAGAGCTCACTACCAGTAAGTTACATTTCTGGCATCACCATTACAACAGGATGGCCCAGACTCCAGAAGATCCTTCTTTGGCTCAACCGTTCCAGCTACCTATCCCATCTAAACCATGCACAGATAGTCCCCTTGTACTACTTGGAGAACCATGTCCAAACTCCTCCATCAGCCTTGCAGCAATCTCCCCTCTGCCTCACCCAACAGTACCGCATTCCTCAGTGGACATGGGCTGGCATTTTGCAGTTGGTCTCCAGTCTCACTGCGACAACACTCTCCCAGTTTCATCATCTCATATGCCATCTAGCTTTTTCCTTTTTGGTGCATAGTTAAAGACTGTTAGTAAGTACCTATAAGTATTTCTGATAAGCCAAAGAGGGGACAGAGGAAGCCTGCAGAGATGTAGTGGTTTCTCCCATAAGTGACTCATGACTCAGAAAAACTGCCATCCCACCACCTCCTACTCAGGCTTGACTGTAGTTTCACAAGCTCTAATCCCAGTCAAGAATTACTGTGTCATTAGACGAATGAATGGTCACTTTGACCCAATTTCCATCAGTTCCATTCCTTTTCCCTTCTTTACTTTTTGACCTTTGCCATTTCACAGTACCAATAAAGCCAAATCTCCTTAATCATCATTGCACCAGGCTCCAGATTCTAAATCCAGAAATTAGTTTATCTATCAAGTACCGTCTATTCTTTTGGTTTGATATATTTTCAGACTAAGCAGTTTATCTCAGTTCAGTCAAGCCTCAATGCTCACAGAAGAAATAGAACTAAGTTTCAAACCATGCCAGGCTTAGCCCCACAAGACTGTCAGAACCTCTTGGCATCAAGCCACTGTTTTGTTCCCCACTCGAAGTAGAATAATACCTCTTTCTAAAATATTCCGCTTGCCTGCAGGGTAAATTGCAGCTGACGTGAATCACTGGTTGCAATGCCTTCTGATGGTTCATCCCAAGAATTAATCTTGGCTTTCCTTATCAATATAAGGTAAAGAATCTGCCATGTTCATCCATCCTGATGACCCTACACTATAGCTCAACATGTAGGCTCTTGCCAAACAATCAGACCTGGAAGCAATGCAAAACCATAATGAGAGTTTCCCTGCAGAGGGGATATGAGGGGCCTTGCACTGCCCTCCTCATGACTGATGCCCAAGACATCTGACCTCCAGTGTGTCCTGTGGTACTCCAAGCTAGTGGAGAACAACAAGGTGCCAGCTGGCATCTGGAAGGACATATCAGGGAGAAGCTTTTCTCTCAGTGGGAAGGTGGCCCTGTGCAGGACTTCACGACCATGTATCCTCCACCCTTACGGCCAGCTGTAGCACCTCTTCTGGAGCCCTTGGACACTTCTGCAGCTGCAATGGGCATGGCAAGGACATAAGCTGGGCATCACTCTATCAAGGAGCAGCAGTGCAATCCAGGATCCCTTCCACCACCTGGCCAACCCTGACAGTGACTGATTTGGCCTTCACAAAACTGAGATATCTGTAGGTGCCCAAAAGTGTCTCCAGCTTCTCCGTGACACTTCTGTCAGCATCAATGGAGCGACACATTGCTGTCATCCCTCTGCCAGAAGCCTGTTATTTTTTGGCACCTCTTGTCAACCTGACATTTTGCCACGTGCTGCCTCTTCTTCCTTCACATCCTGCCTTTGGCAAAAGCCTCCTAGAAGCAGCGTGTGGGCTGAGCTGGAAGCTCCAGCGCCAGGGACCTGCTGGCTTGGATCTCCCTCTCGTGCTCACTGCCAGCCAGTGGCATCACAGGGCACCAGGGCTGAGCATGGTTGGTGAGAGTGAACACTGGTCTTCAGTTGGGCAGAACCATCCCCTCACTCTGGTCCCTATAACTGGTAATTTTTTCATATTTCCTGTTTTTCCAGGTACTGAGCAGATGTGCAATGACATAGACCTCACAAGCTGTGCCGAGGCTTGTTTTTTGTATGGGTAGGCTCAACTAGAAGCTCTCTCCAAACCCACGTCTGTGCTCCACCCTGTGCCTGGTCTTAACTCCACATGTCTTCTGTCCTGCTTCACTTAATAACCTTGGTGCAACTGCTGCCGCTGGGATAGCAGCAGAAATATGATCTTGTGGTAGGACATCTTTGCAGGGCATCTTACAGCCCACACTGAGCTCAGGGACAGCATGACCCAAGTCAGCTACAGCACATCAGGGGCTCTGACACACCAGGGAGTTAACAGAGTTATTGCTGAGTGCAGATGCAGGATCCAGCTGCATGGCAGGAGGAAATACCAAGCCGTAAACGTGACAAGTGGGCTACAGCACAGACTGTAAAGGCACTGCACAACTGTTTTAACCTGCAGCTTGCTTTACCTAAGATCATGACATGATGAATGGCCACCGTGAAAGGCAGCGGTAAAGAAAGAGCACAAAACCTCTCTGGACTGGCCCTTGTGTATGATGAGGTCCAGCTCATTGATCACTTTCCACATCATGCTCTCAGACACTAAAAAATCTTATTCCCTTACCATTGCAGGATGGTCTGGTTCCAGAGTGTACACATGACTCCCTACACAACACTGAACATTCAGTGATGAGGGAAAGTGTCCTGCTCTCTTCCCATCACACCCTGCACATCTCCTTCTGCAGTCAATGGAAAGGCATGACATGAACATCAGCAAAGAGGTTATATTGCAGTCACGTCAGCTTTGGCTTAATGAACCATGTCTGTTTAGATAGTTCATACAAAGCAGTGACTTAGAAGTAGGCAGAGTGATGAGAAGCAGTCTACAAGAAGCATGCTTTGGTTAGGACATAGTGTCCAACTCTCTTTGTCTTCTCTGGCTAGTGGCAACAACATAAAACTCCCTCAGTGCACTGAGATGGGAACAAACTGTGGGATGATCATTTGCTCAGCGTCTGACTTACTAGCAGGGTAAACTCATGCTAACCTGGGAGGAAAAGGGTTTGTTAGCTGCGCCATCAAAACAGCAAAGCAAGTCAGTGCAGTCAGCCCAGCACGGCCAGTTGGTTACAGAGTACCATCTTCAGAGGCTGTTGTGGTAGGTCAGAGCTTACCTATTTGAGGTGCAGGGTACCCGTAGTGCGGCAGATCGTCAGTGTCCTCTCGCTTTCTGTTATCTGTGGACCTCAGCGATTGGCTTCTGGAATTATAGCGTCCATTGGCTATGGCAAGGTAATGGGTCATGTAAATACACCTTGGTTCACTCTGCAAGATCTTTCACTACAAAGGTTACATTTGTATAGACAATAGCAACCTGCGATGTTTGGTTCACACCACCACCTGCCTTCCAACCCAGCACCCCTGACCACCAGCCATCCCTGGGCATTTGAGATGAGCCAGCCTCCAAGACTCGGTCTGGCTTCCAGTTCAGCCCTTGGTTTCAGTGAGACATGAGACCATGCAGAATCAGTTCTCTATCCTTGATTTAATCAAATGAAATGAGGATATTCATATCTTTTTTTCTTTTTTTCTTTTTTTTTTTCTTTTT